TTGCCCAGAAAATAAAACACAGTATTTTTAAAGGCACATAGAAATTATAATACCCAGGGATAGACGGTTCTAATGGTATCTTTGAAAAAGTGATAAGGCAAATTCTTGACTAGGTACTAATAAAGACGCGCGAGATTTTTGATGTCGAAAAAGGATGCGTGAAAACAAATTACGAAAAAGACGCGTTAAAAAAAAAACCGCAAACCTAGTTGACCACGAAAATAAGTTAACGCGTCTTTGTTAACCGTCAACTATGTTACAAATTTTTCTTCGCCTCCTTTATTCGTGTCTAGTGTCGATATGTCTTTTTGTTCCAAAAATTTTTAAATCACTTTTATTTACGTTCGCTGATTCGACACAATTCTATGTCGGCTAAAAATGGCTGCTTGGTTTCATGAGAAGCCTTTTTATGTAAGAAGTACGCTTGAATATTTAACTTTTCTAATTGAGAGAAAACGTTGTTCAGTGTTAACTTTTTTTATTTTTTGTTGATTTATGTGCCGAGAAATACCACATACGCCAGAAGCTATCAGATGTCTCTGCGCACTCGCCACCTTTGGCATAAATAATAATTATTTTTTATTTATTTGGCATATAAAATGTTTTCGATAATATTAATTAGTCGATTTTGATAATAAATTAATAAATACGGATTTTATTTATGCACCTACATACATACATATGTACATTAGAATGCATCGCCAAAAAAGTTGCGGTTTTTCAGCCGGGGTTTCAAAATTTATTCTATTTGAAGACGTCCACTAAAATATTTCGAAATAAAAAATATTTCAACGCAACCGTAATAATGAGAGTTTTGATGCTCTTTTTAACTTTTTTCAAGGATTGGTATAAGAAAAACTGGATCCAAACTATTCCGATTTAGAATTTTGGGCTATCAGTGGAAAGTATTTTCTTTTTTTTTATTTCTTTGCAAAACAAACTCATTCACATCCCAACACATCTTAATTCAACTTGAAATGGCGCTTGTTCGTCCTACTTTTCTCTTTCATACTTTGAATGTGATTATTTGCAAAAAATAAAAAGGGTGAGAAAATACCTTTCCAATGGTACATCGTAAGTCTAAATCAGAAGTTTTTGTTATACCAATCTTTGAAGAAAGATAAAAAACAGCATCAAAAATCGTATCATTACGATTCCGTTAAAAATGTGTGTTAATATTTTTATTCAGATTTTTAAGCTTAAACTGTTTTGTCATCTGGGGGGATTTTTTTTTTTTTCAAAAAATTCTTTACGAAACAATTTTTTTTCATGAAAAACTCCAGTTTTGGAGGTATTTTAGAATCGGTCTCCAGCTCACGTAAATCTTAATATTCTTCCCAAATGTTTTGATGCAAGTCTTAAAATATAATAGATTTTATAATTCCCACGGAAACACAGTACCGTTTTTTTTTTTTTTTGTATGGGGAGTGATGTAGTCTAATGTATGTATGTACATATCTACCCTCTATGCACATCCAACACGCCCTAGGCGCTCATATATTCATTTATGTAGGTACTTATGTATGTATACATACAATAACCATTCGTACCGTCATTGACAATTGTGGCACATAACAGTTATCTGCGGAGATAAACTGAACTTCATTGGCATAATTTACTTACTATACGTGCAATATACAACCGACATATTATTTTATAGACAATTTACGTAATAAAAATGATTATTTATACTGAAGCTGATAAAACTGCTGGCACTAATAGCTTGAATAGCACCTACTTGTATACAAGACGGGACACTTTTTGAAGCTGAAGACGGGGTTACCTATCTATATTCCATGGTATTCGTGGCTTGCCAACAACTTCAGTAGGTTTCTAATAAAACAAATGGTAGTATAACTAGTAAAAAACATTTGAAGTGTTTGAAATAATGTTAAAACTGTAAATACTGTACGAGAACAGTAATAAATACTTACATAAATATGTATTTATGTACGAATGTGTATAACCATGAAACTTGTGTACTTTAACTCAATGCTTTTTAGTAAAATGTTACTCATACGCCGTGTGTGACACAAGTAGTAGATCACTGTATTTAAACGGCAGCTTACTTATGTAGTTTAAATGAAACAATTTACAGTGTTGAGAGTCTAGCTCATTATATAACAACCACCATATAAATCTACATTTCAAAGTTTGTGCCAAAATTATAAAAAATCTGCAAAGTTTCGGCTAAATTTTCAACTTTTTATTCAGATTTTTTAGAATTTTTTTGAGTATGCAGTTTAATATTGCCCATTCAATTCTAGAGTAATAATTTGCATGTTTTAAATTGCTAAACAATCGCATTGTGATAATATTTTTTCTGACTGCATGACGCATTTTTTTCCATAAAAAAAATTGTCGAAAATATTTTGTATGGAAAAAAATTTGTAATGCAGTCAGAAAAAAAATATTAAAAATCAACGCAATTCTTTAGACATTTAAAGCTTGCACATTATTACCCTGGAATTTAATGGGCTAATAAACTGCGTACTCGAAAAAATTCAAAAAAATCTGAATGAGTTGAAAATTTAGATTAAACTCGAGTCGAAGGATCATTTCATTGTAGTATCATAATCCATGCGTGCGACCTCGTTCCTGTCTACTACCTTTTTTCTTATCAAAAAGTTTACGCATGTGCTAAAAGAATATTGGTATTATTAAATTTGAAAGACGCCAATTTCTTCCCGCTACTTTTGTTTTTAATTAACATAGTTTTATTTTTCGTTACAATACTTATTTATAGTTCTTTTTTCGATTCATTAGTATCATCATGCTATTAAAACACTTTTAGCGGCTTAAGAAATTAGCAAAAACTTGAAGACGCTTCCAATGGTCACACCATTCAATACTAATTTATGCATGCATATATGGTTGTATATATATTAGGGTGCCTCACCAAAAAAAAAGGTACGGGTTTTCCACCGGAGCTATAAAATGACTTATATTGTACCACTTCCACCGAAATAATATTTTGAAATGATTAAGATTTACGGGACATAGACCGGTTTGAAAATATGTATCTCTAAAAATCGAGTTTTTTATACATAAAATTAAAAAAAAATAAAACCAAAAACTCTCCGCAGATGATAGCGTCACCAGACACGTATAAAGGCGCGAGCTCAAGACTTGAACGCGAAAAACGACGCATAAAAAACTTCAGCGAAGAAAGACTCTTAACATCGTTGACGTCGAAAAAAGAAACGATAAAAGAGTTTTTGGGAAATGATGCTTAAGTGACAGTCCTTGGCCAGGTATAAATTTATATTTACACGTCTTTCTTCGCCGTCAACTAGTTTACGCGTCTTTCTTCGCCAAAGTTTTTCTTAAACGGTTTTTTCGCCAATTTTTTTTACGCGTTTTTTTTTGCCGTCAACACACCAGCGCGCTTTATTCGTGTCTAGTGACGATAGAGTTTAAGCTGAGGAAATTTTATACAAGTTTTTTTTTAAACATATTTTATTTATTTATTTTCTACAGTACAAAGTACTTTACAGACTAACGAAAAATTAACACTGAATTCTTATTAAATAATCTTCATAAAATAATCAATGTTTGTTTTGGAGGCACATATTTTCAAATCAGTTCAGCATACGTTGGCTTAATCTTTTATCCAAAATATTTTGGCAGAATTCTTAAAATAGAGTACATTTTCTAATTCCGATGGAAAAACAGTACCGATTTTTTTTTTTTTTTTACGCAGAATGTTGTATCCTAATGTACATGTTTTTGTGTACAGAATTTGATGCGTCTGCACGATCACACAAGCCATTAATATTAATTTATGATAATTGCAAATTTTAAACCAGTTCATATGTATATATGTATGTTGGACCTGCCGTATAGCATACTCGCGCAGATTTTCGAACCGCACACGAAGTTAAAGCAAGCGAATAGCGAATTTTTTAACCGCTTTTAGGGAAAAAGTATTGAATTAAACAAATTCAAACATAACTACTTAACTATGTACATATGTATGTATGCATATTTGTAAGAAGAAATCCAGTTCCAACAATTCATTTAAAAAACGCAATCAAACTTTGACCACCTCTGTGGTGTTTGTGACTTAATTCCTAGCTTATCGTATTTTAAGCTGTTGCTTTTTTAAAACTAACTTAAAATATTTGCATTGGCCATTTCCAAGGAATTAAATTCTTTTCTTATATCATTCTCTCTGTTAAAATAAAATACGCAAAATATTTATTAACGTACATAGGTTTCTAAATAAATTTAAAACTTTTTAATAATGCACATTTTTTACTCAATTAATTACTGAATTCCCAGAATTTTTGGAATACTGAATTCACAATTTGCGGATATTTATGTACATACGTACATATGTACATGAACTCGTTTAACAAATTATTGAAATTACTGTTGTGACAGCAAACAGTAACTAAAAAAAATTACCAGTTTAAGTAAAATGTGTAAGTTTTTTCTGACCAGCTACAACAGCGAAAACATCAAGCAAAGTATTGGACTTTTTCGGGATGTGTCTACATAAACCCTTGTGGTCAGCTGATTAAGTCAAGTGACATTTTCACTAGTTTTGGCTATTTTCCTTTTAATATTTAATGTTTATAAAAGTCAAGGGCTTTACCTAACCAGCGCCACATAAATCCACATTTCATACTTCGTACAAAAATTATGAAAACTCAACGAACTTTAACATTTGCACCCAAAAATTTTAAACTTTTTATTCAGAATTTTTAGAAAAATGTTGGGTATGCAGTGTATAAGTGTATACATATACATACATATATCTTTTTTTAACTCTTCGTTCATATTTTCTTGCGAATAGTTTCCAACAGAACCAAAATTTATTTTTTCAACATCGAATCAAGTTTAAAAAAAAAGCTAGGGTCTTGAAATCGTAAAACCTTTACAATGCGCTAAAAATATGCAAAACTTTTTTACGTTTTTACTAATATGCGAAAAACTCAAAAAACTAGTTAACCCTAAAAAAAAATTAAAAAAAAAAAATTGCCCCTGCAACCAACGTTTCTTTTTTTCTGCTTCTCATCTATTCCTTTAGCCATATCAACGGTCCGGTGACTAAAGCCGCAGGCGCACTTCTGTCTCGCGAACAGAAGCCAGTATATCAGTTAAACCTGGCAAAGATATATTTAACCGACAAAAATCAATTCAACCATCCTAAAATCTACACACTTTTCACTCGACTCTTCTTTCACTCGACAAATTTTGTGCTATTTTCTATTCATTTACAACACACTAACTTAAAAAATTCCTAAACACACAAAACCTTCAACAATCGCAAGCACTGGAAACAGCAGAAACAAACAAAACAAACAAAAACAGCTACCAAAATAGGTTTCACCAAGCGCGCGTACACACCACACTTTCTACTTCGATTGCCTACTTTTCGATATTCGCACCGAAACCGTGTCTCTGCTCGCACTGTCGACGTAAGCCGCCGACCCACAAGAGACACGCCCACAAAATCGCCACGAAGATGTAAGCCAAATGAGGTCAACAGAACCTATCGCTGTATGCACGGAAATCTTCGCCATATAAAGTTTAAAGCAAAAATTTATATTGAAGTTATCAAATAATTTTATTAAAACTTTAAGTACTAATTTATAAACAAATTTTAGTTACATTAAAAAATTGTGTGTGATACTGTTGTTTTCATTTGTAATTTAGTATTATTGTGTAAAGTATTTTCGTATTTCCAAGGTGTAACAACACATGTGAGTTGCGCGAGTTCTAAAAAAAAACAAATTCTCAAAAAAATTTTGTAATTTTTGTAAAAAAATAAAATAAACACAAGAAATTGGCGCTTTCATTGCCTTTAATACGCTTAAATAAATTAGTGCGAAAACTTAATTTCTTAGTCAAATTTAAATTAATTTTCACTTAGAAGTGAAACGACATTTCTGTTTCGTAGTCAATTTATGTATTTAACTTTTGTTAAATAGCTCAATTAACTGTAATTTAGTTTTGTTCGCAAAACTTTAAGTATTTCCTCCAACTGACTTTCAGTTAGAAAGGGCATTTCAATTAAATTCATCTTGCTTAAAAAAGGAATAATAATAATTTAATTATATTAATTAAATTTAATTAAAATCTGAGCACAAATCGCAAGTAAGCATACGAAAATGCTAAGTGATTGCATTCCTTGCCCATAAATCATCACACATTTTATTTATTAAAAAAAAAAAAAATCTAACTAAATAAAAGTAATAATTTTTAAATTAAAAAAAAATATAATAAACTAAAAACTAAAAACTAAAAAATAAATTTATAAAAATGCCGTCGCCAAGTAAGAAACAAACGCATCCGCATTTGTCTTTGGTGGCCAACAACAGCGATGATTATCTTAAATTGTCCGATGATGGCGCAATCAATAATGGCTTCCAAGCAACAACTACACCAGAAACGGCCACAACAAACATCGCCGATAGTCCCGACTTTATATCTGTCTCCACAAATACAGTCAATACAAATCCCACTAGCAATGATGATGATGATGAATTCATTTTAAGGAATAATGCTAAAAATGAATTAAATGTCCGCCCGTTGAGTAAACACAATTCTAACAAACAAACAAAGAACAACAACAACAACAATAACAATAACACAAACCACAACAACACACCCTATTATATCAGCAATAATGGCGTGCCTCACGGACAATATCGTTATACGTTGCCATTGTCGTTGGCAGTGCCATTGCCACAACCCTTAGCGCCATCAATACCACAACAACAACAACAATTACAAAAAGATTCACAACAACATCAGGCACAGGACGATAAATTTAGATTATATACAATATATGGAAATGGTGAGTTGCACAAAAAGTTACAACAACATACAACTGCAAACAAGTTACACAAGCATTATTTATTATTTGAAAGAAGAAATAAAAAAAAAATTTTAGCTATTACTTCTACTATTTTTTTTTTATTTACATATGTACATAAGCAATTTTTTTTAACTATTACTTTTTTACGTAGTATATTTTTTTTAATATCTACCTAAGTATTGTCACTATCTTTTCTTACTCGCATTGTACTTTTCCTATTCAATTGCATTTTATTCCTTTTTACACTTCTTTTGATGAACTGTTTATTAATATTTCTATGTTCTATATGTCGGATGTCTGTACTCGTATAATATATTTTTTTATTTAATTTTTTTATTAATTAAAAAGTTCCAGTTTGCTCAGAAATTTATCTCACAATTAACATACACTGCCGGAACAAAGTATTGGCACAGCTAATTTTTCACTACATATGCAACTATTTTCATTCTAATATTTTTCCGCTAATTTCGTATAAAAATATGGTTCATTCTACAACAAAAAACGTAAGAATATAATTGCTAAACTTTGTGCAAAACTCGCGAAAAGTCAGCAAATTTTTAATCAGATTATTTGGATTTTTTTGAGTATGCAGATTTGTAGCCCAATCAATTCTATTATAATAAAGTGCAAGTTTTAAGTAGCTAGGATTTTTGATTTTTGGCAATTTTTTTTTCACGCAGTCTCTTCCATACAAAAAATTTTTTCGAAAATACTTTATATGGAAAAACTGCAATACACCTTCAACAAACAAAAAAATCCCAAAAATCAACGCGATTTTTGACTAAATCCGAACTTGCATTTTTACTAGAATTTAATGGGCTGCAAAACTGCATACTCAAAAAAATTCTAAAAAATCTCATTAAAAAGTTGAAAATTTTGACGAAAATTTGCTGAGTTTTCGCGAGTTTTGCACAAGGTTTAGAAATTATATTTTTATGTTTTTTGTTGTGGAATGAACCATATTTTTATACAAAATTGGCGGAAAAATATTAGAATAAAAGTTTTTGTATATATTGTGAAAAATTTGCTGTGCAAATACTTTGTTTTGGCAGTGTAACTATTAATCCGTTGTAGAGATGTGTCATCTTCGTCCATGGATTTTGGCGCCTTAATCTCTTGTAAAATGCCAAGAAATTAGAAACTGATTTTTTTATTACCATCTCAAGGAGGATACAAGAGATATGAAGGCATAAGTTTTAGTTTAACTCACTTCTTTCTTTTCCTCGCCTCAAAAATATATGTATCTCTGGCATAACTTAAGGCTTGTTATGGTTGTCTCCTTTTATTGATCACATATTTTTTGGCGATATATTAACTACTTCAACTTTCTTTCGGTTTAAATATTTTCATTACATTATTACAGCGGATCTAGCAACAATCATCACGAAAGAGTAGTTGTTTCCATAAACAATTTTTTTCCTATCCATTAAGGGTAAATCAAAAAGACCGTTAGGAATCCCAAATAACTCTGCTTTAAACAAGAGTAGATGAGAGAATTTTAGTTAAATGTTTTACTGAATCAAGTCGGTAGCCAGAAGTGGTTCTGTAGTTAAGTTTAACTAATGATTTTGCTATACTCTAATATAAATAATTTAACCGTTCTAAGGCTTTTATCATTCTTAATTATTAAAATAAGAACATAGTTTATTCAAGTACGTCTTCGAGAATAATCAAATTTTCTTTCAACGTTGGTGTATTTAGCCAGTATCTTTGTTAATTGATTCACAAACAATAAAAAAAAAATTTTATAAGTTAATGTCATTTTGTAAGGGTTAATCAAATGATTTCTTAGAGGTGTCAGTAAGTTCTTGTCGAATGGCAAGTAAGTAGTACACACCACTAATCGCTTAGCTACAGTGGCAGCGAAAAACAATTTACAATATTCCATGCTTCAACAGGGTGATGCCCAAAATACTCATCAAAAATAGTAAAGGAATAATTCATTAGATAAACATTCAGATAAATAATATAACAAAGAGCATTCTCAAATTAAAAATATTTCGAATTTCTCTAGAACAAATTTTTCAGAAATGTGAGCAACAAATAAATACCAAAAACATTTATTTGATTTGCTTTATTACTTGGTACTGCAGGAATGACGTATAAAAGTTCACTCTTGCTCTATAGTGTACTATGTGCATATGTATGCACTTGTCATTTGAGTTAAGTTTTTACCAAAACGAATAGTAGTAATTAAAGTTTTGCGTGACTCAGAGTTATACTTGTAGCAAAGTTTTTCATTTATTTTATCGATAAAAGTGAAGAACCAAAAATTTGAACTTTACTGCAACTTGAATTCCTACGAAAATACCCACCATGCTAAACATGAGGAATAGGCAACAATCGTCAATGGCAACAAATTGGTGACTCGCCGATTTATAGCCGTAGTGAGAAATCCCAAACTTATGAGCTTCGCGTCAACAGGATTCTTCAAAAACATCTAATTTATGCCCAAGACAGGTTGAAAAAATAGGAAGCTCCATAGCGACGAAAATAGTTAATTTCGTTTACAAATTATAAGTTTGTATTCAAAAATTGTTGCAAGAAATTAGTATTCAAATATCGCCTGTAGCAATAATAAAACGACACATTCAGGTAATAAGAAAACGACTCGCCCAGGCAAGTTGCCTGCGGCGGACGTTTTAGGGCGACTGGTAATAAGAAATCGATACGATGGCGATATTGCCGGCAATAAATTTGTTGCTGAGGGCGACAAGTTTTCTTATTTCCGGCAACAAAAATTGTCTGGTGGGTATATTTAAACATTTTTATACACACACATACATATGTATACTTATACAAACATATGAACTTTTTCAGTGCACAATTACCTGCGCAACGTAAATGCTTGTAAGTATGTTTGATAATTCACTGCTGAGTTAGTTTTAATTGAGCCATCAATAAGTCAAGCCAATTTAATTGAGCTGCTGCTCATACAACCCCTTTTTGTTGCTGCACGATTTTTTCGCTTCGTTTGTCTAAGCATTTGCGTGTATGCGCTTTAATTTAGATATAAGACAATAAATAAATATAAACAAAACTTTTATGATATTTATATATACATTTATTTATTTTTTACCTACTTAATTTTTTACCCACCTAATTTTTAGTTAATTTAATGTTTAATTCTCATCTCTTTTCCCTTTCTCTTTCTTTTTGTCGATTTTTTTTCCCATACTCTCTTTTCCAGACACCGACAATGACAAGTTGTCCGGTCTACCACAATCGACGACTGGTTCACTAAGCTCAATCATCACGACGTCCATAGCATCCTCAGAACCAGATCCTGGCACGGGTGGTGGTCGTGGAAGTAGTGGTGGCGGTGGCGGCGGTGGCGGTGGTGCAGGCGGTGGTGGCAGCAGCATCGGTGCATTAGATGCAAGCAGTATCGCCGGTGTGCCTGGTAGCAGTGATGAGAAATTGGCGCTAAATCGACCGGGCATTAAACAGGAGAAATGGTCCTCAATATTGTTGCAGGTGTCGATACCGTTCTTTTTGGCTGGCGTTGGTACAATCGGTGCGGGCATTATACTCGGGCGTGTAGAGGTGAGTTGCATTTTACAAAATGAAATGTAGGCGTTTCGTTATTATTAGAAAGTCAAAAATAAAAACTAAAATTTTCATACGTTGCATGTGAAATGGTTAAATGCCACTTTAATTGCGTGTGCCATGTGGGAAATGAATTTGTGAAGTTATGTAGCTGACTATTACTTATCACTTTTTATTATTTTTACTTGTTCACATATGTATGTATGTATGTACGAGTACCCCATACATAGACGTACGTTCGGGTGTGTTAAAATTTTCACATTAATTGCGCACTTATTTGGTATAATAACATACTACATACAACTTAGAGTTTGAAGAGAATGCAATTAAAAATACGATAAGAATATTATAGTCACTAGATTCCTTAATACACAATTAAGTAATAGATGAATGAGCATGCAATTATGGATACAAACAAAAAAAACACTTTTGAAAGAAACCAAAAGTCTAACTTCGGTTGATTTTTCTGATTTTTTTCCCCCACGTACAATATCTTTTTTTCGATGACTTTAATCTGGTAGATTCATTTACATTAGGTTAAAGAATTCATTTCGACAGAAATAAAAATACAACTTTATTCATGCAAGTTATCTATGCTGCAAGGATCCATGCTTCGCCATACGGATTATGGCTGAAAATCGCAAAACACACCTTTTAAATGGTCACATCGCGCGGATAGATATTTACTCAGCCACCTTACACACTTTCCTCGTCCGATCGTCCAATATCACTCAATGAATTTTATGGGCGCTTTCTGGGGGGACATCCTCTTTAGGGCGATCTAAACGTTCACAGTCACTGGTACGACCACAACGGGTCTGTAAACCACTTTTTAACCATTGAAATTGTTGAGGCAGAATCTCCATAGTATTTATCACGCCTTTCCTTGGTTTCGGTAATGGTTTTTTAACGCAAAAAATAATGCTAAATCAGCACACGAAATTCACTTTATAAAAAAAAATCAAGAGGTTGTCTGCTTTAAAATAAATAAAATTAATTATAGCACTCCTTACACTTCTTTCGTAGTTTAGTGTCATGAAGGTTTCACTTGTACCGCGTGTGAACTGCAAACTTGTTTTTTTCGCTCCATTCGTATTGGCCACTCTTCAATTCTGCAAGATGTGACCTGTATGGCATACCTTGAGGTTTAAACACTTTCAGATGCACTTCAGCGTGATCTTCTTCTGGTTTTATTAACCGCATCCTTTTAGAGCTTTTAGGCCTTGCGTCCTTCCTCAGTAAGCTCATCAGATGTTCGGTGTTTAAGCGCAGGCTATTCCGGCTTCCTCCACAAGTTATTCCCCTATAAGCTGAGAAAGACATACATAAATACCACTTGTTATTGATAATTAAAGGTGAAATATCTATAACTAACGAAATTATTATAAATTAAGTGCAATCGCGGTAATTAAAATGAAAATAAAAAGTCCAGCAACAGAATCAAAGAGCACATTTTCAAACAGCTGTGAGTGAAGTTTAAGCTAAAAGCAGATGCATTATTATACATACATATGTATGTAAATATTATGTATGTATGTATATATGTATGTAATAACTTGTGTTCTTACACATATTCGTGCATACATAATGCAAACACAGTTAGTCGGCATGTTATCTCTTGTCGTGTTTGAGCTTCATTTAATGACTAGCCATAAGCGTATAAAATTCATACTTATCCTAAGTCAAAAAAAAAAAAAAAAAAAAAAAAATGAAAATAAAACAAACTCTCGACACACTGATTTGTTATGTATGTATTTCAATTTTATTTTCTCCTACTTTAATGGCACAACAGATTGCGCTATTGTCTGAGATTGCGACAACACATCATATTAAACGTACACATGTATGTTAATATAAATTCGCTTATTGACATTTTCATAGCAGCGTGTTAAATAAGCTATATAAAACTACATATACGCTTGTACGAAAGTTAGCATTTTAGCGGAAAGTTCCACGAAAATTTTGTCGCATCTGATGATAAAGTGGAGAAAATTAATTAAGTATACAAGTGTATATTACTTAAATGATTTATCGAATTCCCACGAATTTTACTTAACAATACTTTTTTTTTTAATTTTGAGCAAACATTTAAATTGTCACTTGTATTAGTAAACAATTCAAAGAAGTCCGCTTTGTATCACATACATATCGATAGCTTAGAGTGAAAAGTTGCTAAGTCCACTTTTTATGAAAACTCATATTTTGATATAGGAGGCTAAAGAAATTGAATACGCATCGTTTCGAAGATTATAAAGGTACTTGTTTTATTTTTTCCTCTTCATAAGCAATAAAAGGAAAATTTGCTAAGTCCAAAAGAAGCACCACAAATCCGATAAGGCCAAAATAATACGACATCTTTTAATAAATATCGAATCCTTCTGATTCTTATGGAGTTTTGCTTTGCTTTAAACGCGCAAAATGTTTGATTCAAAGTCTTGCGAAATAGTTAAAGAAAATGGCTATAGGAAGATTTTTTCCTCTTCTGTAAAATTTTTAAAATGGGGCTTAGCAACTTTTCTTTCTAAGCTAGCGATATTTCATTTATATCTATTGTCGCACATCTCTTCACATGCATTAGCTGCCAAATTTCAAAAATTTTTTTTTTTCTGAGTTTTTCACAATAACCTGTCTGCTTAAATTATTTTAGATACTGTTCTTTTATATTTTGCCTTTAATAAATTCTAAGCGCAGTTTCAATGTTAAAAATTTAATTATAGTAAGTAACATATACATATACATATACATATGTACAGAGTCAGGCGTCTATTTTGAGGTACACCACTTCTACCGCCCCGTTTTAATGCTCGTAACACCACAATCTGATTGTTTAGTATTGCATAACCTTTCTTTAGATACTAAAAAAATATATATGTGTTACATTTACATGTGTATGCATACATGTATGTACATATATTTAATTGTATAACGGTCTGCCATTGATCAAGCATCCTCTGATTACCGTCGGAGGTTCAACATATTTGCCAATAAAATGTTACTCATACGCCCAGTACAACATAAAATTACGAAGCGTTCTGATTCCTTTTCTCTGGTGAACTGGTGAAGAACTTTATGTGTCAATAGCCCTGTTTGATGTTACCTTGAACCAGTAAATTAATCAAGTTTTTAATTGACGTACAAAAGGCCCCTGCTATCAGATTTTTTATGGCTAGCACCAAGGTACATTGAACAGGTAGTATCAGTAGAGCAGCTGATTTGATTTATTTTCAAATTATTTGGTCTCGAAAATGTCAAATATTTTTAATTTTTTCTCACAAAAATTCTGAATTGTTAAAATCCATTTGCATGTGAAACCTTTTTCCATACAAAACAAGCGATTGAATAGCAGCTTTTGGAACGTTCGCCCAACTCAGCA